TTTCATAGTTTACCATTTAAACTCCCTGTTAGCAAATAAGCTTTGTTATCCTAACGACGTAGTGTTTAGGCTTAATAATGTCATCAAATAATTAACTAGCAGACCTATTCAATTTAAACATATCTATAATAATAGATGTATTGGATAATCTTGATATAGAATAAATGAAAGGATTAGGATTAGCAATGCATGATTTAGATATTACATGTAATTGAGAGAAACATTTAATGAATATTTTCATATACATTTTCAAAGGTAATAGTCTTGAAAATTATAATTGTTTATTTTCATTTCTTTTTTAACTTTTTTTATTTTAAAAAATATAATTTAGAAATGTAAAAAATAAAAATTTTAGTGATCCTATTAAAAAATATGAAAGCAACTAGCCAAATAGAATTAGAACAAATTTTTTTAGATATTGAAACATCTGGAGAGAATGGAATTGAAGGTATTTTATTAAAAATTTGCTTTTTTTAAGTCTAATTTCTAATTATTTTTTATTGTAAGACTGGATTAGCTATTACTGAAAACCTTATATTTTAGCTTCATTCAATTCTTTAATATCATTAATGGATCCTGAAATTTGGAATCGATGTGAAAACAATACAAATGCAGCTGAAGCTGCTCATGCTTTAGCAATTCGTACAAGCAAACAACTGAAACTTTTGACAGAAATTTTACTGTTTGTATTATACTTATTTAACGAAAATTTGAAATTTCAATCTTCTTAAAAAATTTAAAGGGGTCGACGTTGGATGAACGTAACCTACAAATAATAGAAATTCAAGCTCATTCAGCAGTTCCTTATACGAGGCGAGACAGAAGTCAAATAAAAAGACAAGTACTGCAATAAATCGAAAAGGTAAATTAAAATTTTTATTTTAATATGCCAGTAATGTTATTTTCTTATTATTGTAATTTAATTTATAGAAAAACGTAACCAAAAGAGTAATGAGAATTCAGAAAAAGCTTTAGGAAAAAGGAAGTACTTACGATCTACTACTAAAAAAATGCAACCAGTAATTATTAGCGAAAATGATAGTGAAGAAGGTATAAATTCGCGACCAAAAAAAGAAATTCTATTATAATGAAAAGGCTTTTAATAATGAAGTGAGACGTATATATTTGGAACTTGAGATAGAAGAAAGAAAAATGAGCTTAAAGGAGCGTGATATAGCTTTAAAAAAAGCAGCAGCTGAAGCAGTAGCTATTGAATTAGCTAACGAAAAACTAAAGTTATCACTTAAAAGATAATGCGAAAATATAAATTTAATGTTGTATTACTTGTATTACTTATGTTGCGCCGATTGCTATATTACAAATTTTAATTTCGAATAAATAATTTTATAATGAAAAAAATATTTTTATGATTTAAAATTATATTAATATAATTATTTAAGTAAGTTTAGTATGTATTCTAATATATACCGTATAGATTAAAAAATATACCGTATTAGTAATAAAATAACTATACTATACTAACTACAAGAATTATACATACTCAACACCGTTAGATCGTTTTTTAAGATAAAACACTATTTACATATTTCGGATTGCACTCATCGTGAAATCTTAAAGTAAATAATAATTGTAAAATAATACCAAATTAAGTATAAAATTATTTTTTATATAAAGATTTTAGTTATTTCTTTTTAATTTACGATTGATTTATTTTTTATAATATTTAATTTTTTAATTTAGTTTAATAGCCGATTTTAATAAATTTTTTTCATTTATTTTTATTTTTTTCGGTTTTATTTTTATTTCTTTTTTTATTTCTTGTTTTTATTTATTTTAATTTGGTGTATTTTTAGTTTTTTTATATCACGATGTTTATTTTTTTCTATCGATTTTTGTTTGTAATAAAATTTAAATAATATTTTTTTTTAAAACTGGTATGATCAGGACAGGTTTTCCAGGTAACCTGAACTGACCTGAATTGTTCGTAACTCTACATATGATCCATATAATACAGTTGGTTATAAGTAAATTTTTTTCCATCATTAAAATAAAGTGTACGACAAAGATCACAACACATGATGGTGATATAATCCAGATTTGTGTAACCATCGATTTCCTATAAAATGGAAAATTCATATTTTTAGCTCAAATCTTTTCCGATCAGCCAATATGACGCAATTTCACGTTAGATTTCTGACGAAGAAAAAAACTACTCTATTCGCTCTATTTCAATTATAATCCTGAATTGAAAGGTGAGTTCTTACTCTCCTTCGTATAAAGAAAAAGTTGACATATTGAGAAAGTTATTAACTTCAAACGAAGTATGTTGCTTCATTCTTGGTGTCATTTTGTTATATAATATAAAAGTTTGCTAATCCTTGTGTTTTCTTTCTTTTCGCTTCTTATCGTCAAATTTCAAACATTTGAAGTTATCGTAGAACAATCATTGGCAAGTGAGTCATAATAATATTATAAACGCTATGTGAACGCGACATTGTCTTAATTCTAGTTACGCTTTGTCATTCTTATCGATAATAATAAATGCTTATAATCTCATAATGGAGATTACTGTAGAATCTTGGGGCGCGATTTAATTACGAAAATCAATAACATTCTTTCAACGACATGAAACATATACGCAGAGGAAATCTTGTTTTCAAGTCTCCCATCGTACATCCTTATTCTTAAAAAATTCGACAATTAGGTCTTCCTAAAACGATTCTTCGTTCATAAAATAGTTCTTTATTCATTGTTCATAACCAACCAACTAGGTAATACAAGTATCAACTCAACTAGTACACAAAATCTCATAACTTTGGGAACATCTTGTAGAAGTTTTAAGTAAGAAATGCGGATTTTTCTTTACAAGAACAAAGTAATAACCGTCGTAATATGGTTGAACACCTTCGATCCCAACTGGAATCGAACCTTTGATCA